TTTTTTACACAATTTGCTTATAGCAAAGAAATACTTTGCTATAAGCAAGCATTTACCTGAATGAAATGGATTCATTCAGCTTTTTTTTTTTTTGTGCTTAGCTGTGATTTGGTCACAGCTAATCACATGACATGTGCATGTGATTAGCTGTGACCATTCACAGCTAGGCACTAGTATACAATGGATGGCATCATGAATGAAGCCATCCATTGTATACAACTGTCATGTGACCTGCTGTGATTGGTCACAGCAGGTCACATGGTACCTGCAACGGAGCCGGTACTCGGATCTGTCATCGGCCGTGTCCGAGGTACACGCCCGGTGACAGATCGAGCCACTGCGGCGCTCTGCATTAGCGCAAACGGCGCATGTGCGGGAGCACGCCAAATGGCGTGCACCCGGAGTGGAGAAGCAACTTTCAAGCCGCCAAACGGCCATTGGCCGGGCGGCAAATGGTTAAATGGTAACTGTGCGGTCATGCAACGCTGTACCCAAAACGAAATTCATATAAATTTTTTTTTACACAAAGAGAGCTTTCTTTTTACTTTCTAATATAAAACATACTCAATAAAGAATGGGGAAAAAAAAAAAAAAAAAAAAAAAAAAAAAAAAAAAAAAAAAAAAAAAAAAAAAACACACTTCTTCATACATTTTAGCCAAAATGTATTCTGCTATGTCTTTGAAAAAAAAAAATCCCAATAAGTGTTAAATAATTGCTTTGCGTGAAAGTTATAGCAACTACAAACTATGGTACATATACTGGAATATTTATTTTTTATACTACTAATGGGGTAATCATCGATTTATAATGGGATTGTAATAATGTGGTGGACAATCGGGCACTGACGCTGTTGGGAACTGACTATCTGCCACTGACAATACCAGTGACACTATTATGGTGATCAGTGATAATACCATACACGGTCACTGTACTAATCAAACTGGCTGGGAAGGGGTTAACATCTAGGGCGATCAAGAGGTTAAATGTGTGCCTACCAATGTGTAATGTGTGTATTATGTGCTACTTTCTCACTAAGATATCTCTTGGTTTTGTTGTGTAAAGCAGGTGTGAGAAGCAATGAGATCAATCTCTCTGATCGATCTAGGACTATTTCACATTTGGAAAGCCCCACCAAATATGCAAAGAAGAGCCATGTATTTGGCAACCTCAGAAGCACTTGAGTGAGTCAGAATTGCACAAAAAAATCCTAAAAGGGACTAAATACCATTGAAGTAGAATCTTATAGGCATGTTGGAGTCATTTCAAATCCACTTCTACTTATCACAGAATAGTAAATGATCAATCTAGATCCCCGGATTGAATTTCCTTGGGAAATATCCGGTTCATCGAAGACGCTTTTATCACATGTAAAGATATGCTGTAGTGCTATATCATGATATGTTTTACGGGGTTTCTGATCCACGTGTTACACCACTATCTGATCTTGCACGTAACATATACTAAGCTATATTATTTTTCCGGCTCGGCTAATACTCGGGGAGGTGACCCAGTTTACCTTTTCATTGCCTATTTACGCCACTGTCACTCAACCCATTCCCCCCCCCCCCCCCACATTTTTTTTTTCCTGGTTTTTCTCCTACCTATCATCTCAGCCTACATCTCTTTTTCTTGCTGTTCTTCTTTCTGACCTCTATCCTTTTCCACACCTGGTATACCACCTTATCAGTCATTCTTCACCAACCAAATAGTGCATTCACCCTCACACAGATAGGACTCACTTCATCTATACTATACACTTAAACTATAAACATGTAAACCATGACTTTAGCAACATCTAATGCCTTCCAGGCTCTAATCTTCATATCACCTCATCATTATGCATTGCTGATACTCAAGACAAGACGACATACACATTCAGTGTTGTACCTACTTTCCTCTAAGTATCCAATGGTTTGAATTGTAAGCTTGATGCATTGTTCTACACCACATTGCTTTGTATTATGGTTTACACTAAATCCCGTCTGCGAAACGGAAAGTAATATTTCATGTCTGTGTTCTGACTGTGCTTTATTTATAGCTGTGTATGCTCTACATGCTATCTGGTCTATTCTTATATTAATAAAATATTTTTGGAAAAAAAAGAAGTAGAATCTTATAGTTTGCCTCCACAGCCAGCACTTACAGTAAGTGGAGCTCTTGGTAGAATTGGTCAACATTCGAGTCTATTCATCCTCCACTGTAGCACCCCCCAGATCATTATACCATTTAGCAGTGTCAAAATGAAGGGTGTGTGTAGCTGATGTAGACGAGAGGGAGTATACCAAGGTAATAACACCTAGGCCCCCTGATTTATTCAAGAAGGCTCCCTCAAAGTCTGTGGATAAGGAGAGATTTGTTTTTTTTCATAAGTTTGTTGCTGTAAGAAGTGTTTCATTTTCAAGAATCGGAAAATGTCACTGGGGTCAGGTGTGTATTTGTCCTTAAGAGTTCATGCTCAAGTCCGTCAAAAAGTGAGAAGTATATGACACATTGGAACAAATTGTTCAAGGTTTGTGGAGAAGCCAAGCCTGAATGAAATTTGGAATTAGCCAATACTGAGAGCAGAGTATGTGATGAGGTCAGATTACGAGTATATTTTTAGACTGTCCCAAAGCCTTAAGCCAGCCATAGACGGAGCGATTTTTTTTCCTTCCAACCACAGGTTGCAAGAAAGTAAAATCACTTGATTCCCCCATCAACACCGTCAGTGTTGATGGGGGGGAGCCATTCTTCTGGCGGAAAACACAGTGATTACTGCTAGCAACTATAATAGCCACTGGCAATAAATGCATGTAAAATCCGACAGGCTGGTTGTACCCAATTTGATTGGTACATTCAGCCTGCTCCATAGATGGTTCAAATCTTGGCCAGTTCAACAAGGACCGAAATTCAAACCGTCTGGCCAGCTTTAGAGTGTGCATGGTAATAAGGCATGTAGGGGGGCTCTTTTTATATGAGACAGCCACATAAGATTCCTTATTGAGACAAGGCCACAAGAATATGCTTTTAAAGAGACCCACAAGGGAACTCCTGTGGGCGATTGCTATTGCACCAGTTGCATAAGTTTAGCTACTTGATAATATATACTTTGATTAAAAGATTTATTGAACAGTTTTAACTTGAAATGTCACTTGGAAAACAATGAAATTGGTGGGTTTAGTTCTTCTTTAATGTGCATTGCAATAACAGCAGTAAAATGCAATTTGCAGTAGTCTGGCTGCAACCTAAGGTTCCTTTATTGAATTCATGCAAAGAATTCAGGCTGCACGGAAGGCAAATACAAATAGGATATTCACCAACACACTAACAAGTTAATTTGCCACCAATAATAACATACTCAAATATAAAAGTAAATGAGTATGCCCAGGTGATTGGTTGGTGTTACCTTAAATCATAGTGTACCGGTATGGAATTGGCTTTATAAATAATATCTTTTGTGTGAAATGCATTTTGGCTTTTTATTTCATGACCAGCTGGAAACCTTTGATTAGCTTTAAGTGTGTGTGCTAGAACCTGGCATTCCTTTGAGTTGGTCATGATCGCCTTTGAACAGGTGAGTAAGCTTGGCAGGCATTGATCCAGCACTGGGGCCCAGCACACGGTGGCCTGCTCCCTGTGCAGCAAAGCTTTGATATGATGGTTTAAAGTACATTTATTTTAAAAAGCATCTCCTAGATTTCTCTAGGTTTAGGAAAGATAGTTGTGATGTGTAAACATGATTGTCATCAAATCTTAACTGCACCTTTTCATCATATTACTGCCGAGCTCACTCTCGGTCTTCACAAGACTGAGATTGAGCTCTGCAGTCACTTTTGCAGCATTTCTTTTCTTATTCCGGGTCACAGTCCTGCGCAATGTCCTTCTGTATATTTCGGTCAGCTGACCATGTCGACTGCGCTTATGCTTATCAGACAACGTTTTCCTGGAAACTGTTTATGCCGTCATAACCTTTGACACTGTACCTCACGAGACACAGCAAATAAATTGTCAACTTCAGTCACAAAGGCACCAGTTAAGTGGGCACCAACAATTTACCCTCTTTGAAGCTCAGTAAGCTATGACATGCCTCCGCATTACTAGCAGCACACTCACTGAATGACAAAAGTATGGCTTGCCACCTGTTAGCTAGGTGTCTAATTACACAGTGGAAGCAAAAAAATGTTGATGTTATATCGATATTTCGATTTTAACGCAAAATATCTTGTTACTCTCACACCTGCAAATCATGTAGTGTTTCAATATTTTTTGTCTAACCCATTATATATATATATATATATATATATATATATATATATATACACACACATATATACATACACATATATATATATATATACACATACACACACACACGCATCTCAATAAAGTAGAATATCAAAAAGCTAATTTATTTCAGTAATTCAATTCAAAAAGTGAAACGCATACACTATATAGATTGATTACACAAGTGATATATTTCAAGCATTACTTTTAATTTTGATGATTATGGCTTACAGCTAGTGAAAACCCAAAATTCAGTATCTCAAAAAAATTTAATATTGTGACACAGTTCAATATTGTAGAATTATGGTGTCACACTCTAATCAGCTAATTAACTCAAAACATCTGTAAAGGTTTCCTGAGCCTTTAAATAATCTCTCAGTATGGTTCAGTAGATTACACAATCATGGGGAAGACTGCTGACTTAACAGTTGTCCAGAAGCCTGGTCATTGACACCCTCCACAAGGGTGACCTGCTGCTGGTCCAGTCCTACTGCTGGTAGCCTGTCAAACTCGAGGAGAGACTGGCAGAAGCTCCTTAATGTGATCGGTGGATCTTCTGTCTTACTTTGATGTGTGGAATTTAAGTGGGTAAAAATGCCCTAAAATTGACATCTTTGAAAAGCTCAATTTGAAGATATGTATATACAAACACACCAGATATATATCTACCTATAAATTCTAAATAGAAAAGAGTGAAATAAATAACCATGTAAATAAAGGAAGTAAGACCACTCACTTGTCTTGTGACTCGATGTACACATATAGATGGGGCTCAAAACACTTAGAAATTATGCCATGGAAGGGATTCTCTGGTACTTTCGGCTTCTTTGGCTGCAAAGAATACATAGTAGCTTGAAACAAAAGGTTCAGTCACCGAATCTTCATAATTATATTTCTTTAGTGCATTGACTGTAATTCTTTAGGCATTCCCCTGACCTGCTTATGAGCAGTTTGGATTCAACACTGAAAAAGTGATCTTAATATTTAGAGCTTTAAAATATTTCCTTTAAACTGTGCACATCATAGAAGGCATATCTGTACTTTCTGTTCATGAACATGCTTTAACAGCCTACTCAAAAAGGCTATCTAATGAGCCATTTAAAAAAAAAAATTTGGTGCTAAAAACAAAGAGCTTGGCATGGATTGTGAAAGGGGGTTTCTTTATTTTTAATGCCAGCTTCTCTTCTTTACATTCTGCTGCAGAGGGGAAATGCTGACAATAGAGGAGTCATAACTGTTATGGAAGCGGAGGGTGCTGGCTCCTTAACAACCATCAATTCACTGGTTGTTAAGGACTCCAGCAGCTGCCAGCGTTAAAATACCGCACATTTTCACTACTAAAATACCACATCACTCCAAGAAATAGCAGATGTGATATTTTATTGCTTTTTTTGTGAAATGATAAAACTTTTTTTTTAAAAACGCTACGAGCAATTTTACAGTTGATCCTAAAGAGGTAGATACTGTTTCATGATTTGAGACCAGTATCCTTTGTTAATTGTGAGCCTGACAAAAAAGACTGCATTGCTGGAAATACTTCTGGTTTGCTGGCCTATCCACTAATATATATATATATATATATATATATATATATATATATATATATATATATATATATACACATACACACACATATATACAGTATATAAAAATAAACAAACACTGTATGTGGGTGGAGCTGCTTTTTATTTTTGCTGTCCTTCAGATCAATGTATCTGTCACATTATGTTTGCTCATTGACAATGACTGTGATTGTCTCTCTGTCTGTGTTACTATATTTGCCAGGACCCACCAATATGTTGGTCATCATGATGAGTGTCTAGTTTGAAAGAATGCAAGAAAACTGATCATAACAAGCGACTGTTTTACATATGCCAATTTCAGAAAGAGCAGAGAAGCTGGTATATTTCAACATTTTGAAGCATAGCCTACTCAAACCTAAACAATGAACTAATCCACAGAACTCACCTTATCAAGGTCACCATCTCTTTCGAGAGCTGACTCATCTCCTATGTTGTCATCATCTAGGAAGGGATTGGTAGAAACTGGAGCTTGGGGCTCTGGCTTTTTCTTAAAACAGAAAAGAAAAAAAAATATATGTTTAATCTTTTGACCTGTCCAAAAGTTTATATCAAGCTAATGGATTAAATATGCAATGTTTATGAATAGGGCAGAAATTATAAACACACAAGAACACAAGAATCTAGTATCTTGTTGTGCTACATTGTGGTATTTCCGTTTTTACTCTTCTGGGTTTGAACGCAACTTCATAATAAACCCAGCTCTAAATAAACACTTAATACACATGCTAGATAAGGTTTTAGTGCATATACCCTTGGTCCCAAACCTGACAGTCTTACTGTGTGGCCCTTGGGGCTTTTGCAGATAAGAGTCAGTTTTCATGGTTACCAAAAGTGTGCGTAAAGGAAATAAAATTATTTTTTAAAAATAAAGTGCCCCTGTCCCCCTGTTCTTGCGTGCAAAGGCAAAAACACAAGTCGGTCCCGCACGCATGCATGCAAACACCAATAATCCGATACATGTGAGATACGCCGCAAATGTCAGATCATGGGCAGTAATTCTAGCACCAGACCACCTCTGTAAATCTAAAGTGGTAATCTGTAATGGCTTTTAAAGCATCGCCTATGGATAGTAAAATGTATGTCTTTTTCCTGTCCCGTTCATCTCTTTTCTGTATTCTTTTTTTCCTCTGGTCTTTTATAATGTACAGTGGCTTGAAAAAGTATTCATACCCATTGAAATTTTCCACATTTTGTCATGTTACTACCAAAAACGTAATTGTATTTTTATTGGGATTGTATTCAAGGCACTGTATCTTAATAATGAAAATATCAAATTTTAAGAGGGCTGCAGAGAGCACAAATGTGAAAACATTAATTTGTAAAATCGGCTGTACTAGCAGTGATCACTAGCAGACTCATGTATTGTGTCTCCAATCTATGTCTGTCTACTGAAGCATGTCCCTATGTCTCCAAGAAGTCCATATCAAGTGAGTCAACTACCACTGGTACATATAGGAGGTGACTTACTAAATCTGGTGCAGCTATGCATAGTAACCAATCAGCTTCCAGGTTTTATTGTCAAAGCTTAACTGAACAAGCTGAAGTTAGAAGCTGAATGGTTACTATGCACAGCTGCACCAGACTCTGAGTGCTCCAGTTTTAGTAAATATCCCATAGTATATTATATGCTCTCTTAGGAAAAAGTTTGTTTGTAATCTTTGTAAATTTGTGTTTTTACACTTCTGTATCATGCTGGCTTCAGATAAGCGTTCACTGTCCTACTTTGCGCTTGCTTGGGCACGGACAAAATGTCCTTGTATGCACTGTGAACTTCTAATCTGCTCTCTCCTATCATATTTAATTTTGATTGTAGTTTTTGGAAAAAAAAATTTGCTAGGGAGGCAGGATTATACAGCTGTTGTTTCTCATTTAGGAGAAGTATTGTGTGAAACCCACGCCACTCTGCAAGTCAACTTTTACTGATGCTTTAGTACAGTTTTCAGCATTAAATATTTTACAAAAGTGTTATTAACCAACAGAAACTATTTAAAGTACATTAATAGCGATAAAATAAAATACTGAATATATATATATAATTTAATATAATGATTCAAGAACCAAATAAGTTTAAAAGAAGAGTGCCACCGTGCAAGCTGGTTAAGCAATATTGGAGAGCTCAAGTGACTGGTTGTTGCCTTTTGCTTTATGGTATGATTCCCAGCCCCTTATGCTAAATTAACATAGCACCCCTCTCCACTACATACTTACCTCTTGCATGGCAGTAGCAGACTCCTATGCTATTTACATCCTGGATGCAGGAATCTTGTCTGGCACTGGGCAAATCTGTGCAAATTCCTCCATGAACAGATATATCTCCATAGTAGAGATGAATTCATGTTCATATAGGGTGGATACACAGGAATGGCTGGGGGGGCAATGAAGATTTCTGCACATAGGATGTGAACACCACAAGAGGCCAACGCTGTTACTCAGACATGTGGATGAACTGGGGTGGGGAGTCTAGGATATATTCGTTTAGGGAGCCATGGAGATTTTAAAAAGAGAAGATGTAGTTGTCCCTTAACGTCAAGTTGTATGTACATTAACATATCTGTGGTGAACACTGGAATTAAAGGAAACCTGTGCTGAGATCATGCTCGTTGCCAAATTGTGATACTGACCATACACAGATTTATTTCATAAGCCTGCACAAAATAAATCTAACAGATTCCTCCATCCACACTACCAACGCAGATGGATGAATCTTCATCTTCAGGTACTCATCAGCCAATTAGCTGGCTTTGCCGTTTGGCACAGGTGAGTAAATCTCAGGACTGGATGGATGGAAATAAACCACCATTGGTTAAGTGAGACAGCTCATATACAGCAGTATTTATTGGTTTGCCTTGAATGTATTTTATGCCACAATGAATCAGTGCAACAGTCAGGCAACTAACAGCTTTTAGAAGAAAAGGTCAGCAGCGGCAATCTTCATTTTTTCTATGCACAGGTTTGCTTTAAACAATAATTATCATTTGGTAAAAGGGCTAATCAAGTGTGTTTAAACAATGTTTTACCTAATAGAAAAAGAGAATAATCAATTTCACAAATTATAGTGTGTGTGTGTGTGTGTGTCTGCTCTCTGATTAGGTCATCAGGCTCCTTGCCGTTTGGCACGGTTATAGGTGAGTAAATCTCAGGACTGGATGGATGGAAATAACTTCACCATTGGTAAGTGCAGTTGTGCCATATAATCTTTTTATTTTCAGTTGATGGATTGAACAGTGCTCCGTGAGATTTAGAAGAAAAGCTCAGCAGCGGATCTTCATATTTTTTATCATAACAATAATTACCATTTGCATTTGTGTAAACAATTCTCCATAAATTATTTCACCTGACCTGTGTGTGTGTTCCTTGGCCTCTCTGATGATGCTGTCCTTTACCTTCACGGTTAGGTGAACAGGTCATACATGCAGGTCCATTTTCAGTTGATGGATTGAACAGTGCTCCGTGAGAAGCTTGGGATTTTTTTTTTCATAACCTAACCCTGCTTTACACTTCTCCATAACTTTATCACCTGACCTGTCTGGTGTGTGTTCCTTGGCCTTCATGATGCTGTTTATTCACTGAAGCAGGTCATACATGGGTCGAATTCTGAAAGTATTTTCTTTTGAAAATCGTTTAGAATTTTTGCTCTAATTTCACACCATTAGTGGTCCACACCAACAGCCAATTTTCGAGCGACCAGGCATGTTGGAATTTTTTTTAAAATGAACAAATTTCTAATCAATGATGGGAGACTTATGTAAGAAATGTAATTGAAAAAGAAATTAGCATGAGCTTTTACCTGGATAGAAAATAAAATTCTTGGCCATGAAAATTATTTTCTGTAGCAACATAAGGTCAAATTAAAGGCTTGGTTCGTGGAAGTTTGAAATCAATGATGGTACCATCGGATTAAAAAAAACGCACAAAATTTCCGATATTCTAAAGAAAATTCGTATGGAATTCAACCTATGTATGTCCTGCATTATGTTCTCTAATAAACCTCTGAGGGCTTCACAGAACAGTTGTATTTATACTGAGATTAAATTACACGCAGGTGGACTCTATTTACTACTTAGGTGACTTTTGAAGGCAATTGGTTTCACTAGATTTTAAGTCTGCCATACATGGGTCAAATTCCAAGAGAATTTTGTTTCGAAAATATTTTCTAAGAATTTTTGCACCATTAATGGGTCTCAGAAACGGACGATTTTCATGTGACCATCGACCTGGAAAGAAAAGAAAATTCTTGGCCAAGAAAAAAATATACGGGGCTGAATACACATGCACGCCACACTTTTCAGGTTTTTATTTGTAAAATTTTTCGAAAACCATTCATCATTTCCCTTCCACTTCATAATTAAGTACCACTTTGTGTTGGTCTATCACATAAAACCTCAATAAAATACATTTATGGTCGTAACATGACTAAATGTGGAAAATGTCAAGGGGTATGAATACTTTTTCAAGGGTGTGTGTGATTAAAAAATAATAGACCTGGAACTCAACCACACACCGTATAACATATAAATTAAGGAGAACCTGGTGACATTTTGGCTAAATATGACTGAATAGACCCTGTTATTAAATAGGCGTCTCAATAATAAAAATTAAAAGTCTGCCTTTTGTCTAGAGGAATTGTGTTGGCTGTGTTTTGACCCTTTCTAATGTCCTTGGATGAACCAGCATGCTCTGCACAAAGATAATGAAAAGCACACGTGAATATATTGCATTCTGTAAATTAGAAGCGCATTTGTAAGCTGAATAAAATATAGCAATGATAATATGTAAACTAATGTCTTGCCAAAGACATTAAGTCAATGTAGTAATGGGTTACTTGTGTACTAGTTTATTAAAGAAGCCAGCTTGTTAGAACAAAATCAAGATTGGGAACACAGAAACAAAAGGTGCTCCACAATCCCATTTAGATATTGAACACTCTGTCCCATGCACTAAGGCTACTTTACCCAGAAATCTGCAAGGTGCATCCTCTGAAGCTACTAGAAAGGGACAACTCTACTTTCAAAACATCGGTACCTTTGCAGGCACTTTGACTTGCGTCAACACTAGCTCATAGAATAAGATCCTATTAAAGCAGCCGACTGATATTCACCACTATTATTCTGAAATTGAACAATTATATATGGAATTACAATGGCCAGCCTTACATAGTATTTCAGCTGATGCAAAGGTATCATAGTAAGTCAAAATGAAGAAGGATTTCAGATTACTTTATATTAAATAGTTAAATATCTTGTATAATTGCATTGTATTCATGCGGGCAAAATTTAACTCTTACCCCTGCCAACTGGAGTTAAAGTGGAACTTTAGTCAGAAAATTAAGTCCTGCCAAATCACTTCAGGCTGGCCCCTTTTGCAGGTATAACTATGTAAAACATTAAAAATAAATGCTTATACTGTTTAAAATCCGGTAATACACTGTCTCACTCTGCTCGGCACATGCTCAGTTGCTCTCTATTTTTTGGCACTGTGTGAAAAATCAGCGCCACTAGAGACCGATCTGCTGACAGCATAAAGATTTACTGCTGCTCAGGGGCTCTGGTTTTCAGCAAAATGGCAGCCTCCCACAAGAAGAAACAGGAGAAATGTTGGAGGCAGTTTACAGCACAGACTCATTTTGGTAGCATAATTATTAATGTGGAATGTATGTTCCTTGAAAAAGGACATTTTTTAATTGCTGTTATAGGTTGTTGTGAGAAAAGTTCCACTTTAGGGCACGGCATATATAATATTTTAGCCGTTATTTTAAAAGTGGCATTGTCAACATCTTCAATCAAGTATTTTAAAATGCTTACTTGTGCCCCTGAACTTGCTAGCAAAATTTGGCTAGTCAGTTTTCTCCCATGTCAAAGCAGTCTCCTCTTCTAGAAATGTATTCGGTACCATCTGTACTTGTCCAATTACTCCACCTCTCCCCTCACTTACCTACATCACTTTTTACCTAGTCAAATAATAAAATAAAATCCCAGAACCAGCTCTAATGTTTAAACATAAAATAAAAATAAAAAGAGAAGCTGCCCACACATACTCATATAAATGTGCTCAAAGCCATAAACAATGACAGTGCCGCGCTTTCCTGTAAATACACATCAAATTGACCTCAAATTCTCAGCCAAAAATAAATATATATATATATACACACACACAAACACCAAAATATGACAAATAAGAAGTCACATTTGTTTGATAAGTCCTTTTCAATCTTTCTTCTTAAAATCACCTTATGGCTACTTCTATAACTCCATGTCTTCTTTATATTAACATGTGCACCTCCACCACCAACACATGAGATGTGCCCTCACATACTGCAACATCTATCTTTTTCCATTCTTCAAGAATGACCTCTTTAAGAGCCTGGATGCTGGATGGAGAGTGATGCTCAACTTGCCTCTTCAGAATACCCCATGGGTGTTCGACTGGGTTCAGATCAGAGACATACTTGGCTACTGAATCACTTTCACCCAGTTCTTCTTCAAAAATGCAACAGTGGCCTTAGATGTGTGTTTTGAAACATTGTCATGTTGGAAAAGTGCATGATGACCAAGGGCACGGAGTGATGGTAGCAGCTTCTCTTTCAATAAAGAGCAGAACATCCGTGAATTCATGATACCATCAATGAAATGCAGCTCCATTTCAGACACTGCCACCACCCTGTTTCACTGCAGGCACCATGCATTTTTCTTTGTACTCCTCTACCGTTTTGAAGCCATCAGTTCCAAAAACATTTATCTTGGTCTCATTACTCCACAGTGCATTAGTCTTCTTTTTCAGCATGAGCCATGGAAAATTCTAGATGGGCTTTTTTGTGCAAGAGCTTTAGGAGAGGCTTCCTTTGTGGACGTCACCATGCATGCTATTCTTCTGCAGTGTATGCCGTATTGTGTCACGGGAAACCATCACCCCAGTTTGGCTTTCTACTTCTTTAGCTAACTGCAGTGAACTTGCATGGTGATTTTCTTCAACCATTCTCATCAGAAGACACCCCTGTCAAGGTGTTAACTTATGTGGATGGACTGGACATCTCTGTGAGATGGTTGCAGTTCCATCTTTGATAAATTTTTGTATCACTTTTGCTACAGTATTCTGACTGATAAGTAAAGCTTTGTGATCTTCGTGTAGCCTTTACGTATCTTGTGTAAAGTAATTATTTTCTTTCTCAGGCCTTGTGACATTTCTCTTCCACGTGGTGCCATTGCTGACAGAATGAAATGGGAAGGGGTTTTCTTTGTTACGTAACGCCTTTTATAATCAACTGTCTGCTGGACACCTGTTTAGTGAATAATTAGACTCACCTGTAGTTGAATTCTTGTTAATTAGGATTTTGTTGTCTAAAATCTAGCTTTGCTCCTAAGAATTTCATTGGGGTGCATTCATTTTTGCAACACCGTCTAGAATGAATTTGTGAGGAATTTTTTTTTTTTTTGTGTGGGCAAATGAACAAACCTTGTTTGCAATCAATGGCCAACATGTATTTTTGTGTGTGTGTGTGTGTCTATATCAGGGGTGGCCAACCTGCGGCTCTCCAGCTGCTGCAGGACTACAAGTTCCATCATGCCTCTGCAAGTCAGTAACTTCCCATCTTTGCAATGCCTCATGGGAAATGTAGTTCCACAACAGCTGGAGAGCCACAGGTTAGCCACCCCTGGTCTATATAGTTATATATTTTTTAGTGTCGTTGTTTATACTTTTTATCTAGCACTGTAGCTGGAGAGGAGAGAAGAGGAATACTATAGAGCCGGATGTGCTGGGACTGCTGAGATCGCATCCATTATGGTGGTGTCCAACAGAGGTTTTGGATGTTTATACAAGGGAGGCTTTTACAGATAAATAACATGTATAAAAATTATATTAAATAACCTCTGGTAAGATGGTTGTTGAAATGAATGGTGTGGCAAGATGGTCTTTTTAAAAGCCTTGACCATACAGGAACTCTTATCAGATAGTGAGATAGCACAAGTCTTAGGCCTCATGCACACAGCTGCTGTTTTCAGGCATTTTTTTCTACAGCCAGTAAACTCCCCAGCATGTTATCCTATGTGTCCATGCACAGATAGGCTTTTAGCAGCATTTTGTTTGGCATGGGCGGTTTCAGACTGGAAAACCCCATCCCCCCCAGGACTACCACATTTGAAGATGAGTTTTTTAAGCTGTAAAAACACTAACGCTGTTAAATGTAGTAAACCACGGTAAAAACATGGCTAGGTGTGTTTTTGTGCCTCAAGCATTTTTTTCTAAGCAATGGACACTGGCAATTTTTCATTATACAGTAAATTCCTACATTTCCCAGTGTGCTTTGCTGTTCTTGCTGTTATTGTCCGATCTGTGCTGTGTGATTCCACGCAGAAAATTTTTTCATCTGAGTGTAGCTCATGTATGTAGTTAGCATGGCCAAATGCATATTTGTGCTCTATGAATACAAAACATGAAACATTTTTCCTCTGCGTGTAGCTCATGTATGCAGTTATCATGGCCAACGGCTCCCCGCATATGAAACATGAAAACATTTTCATCTGCGTGTAGCTTACGTGTGCAGTTAGCATGGCCAACTGCAAATCTGTGCTCCATGCAGAGGAAACCGCTCTCAAAATGGTGACTAAACAACTGCACAATGACTATTCAGGGATGCATTGTGAGAAAGTGGGAGTTAAAAATACAGAATGGTGTTTTTTTTGCTAAAAAAAAAAGTCTAACGTGGGCATCGGCAGTCAGAATCAGAAGAGTCATCCATCCACACTGCTCAGATGGAGGAACCTGTTAAAATTTCTTTCGTTCAGGTTCCATGCTGAATGAAAGAAAGTCAATGTACATATTGCAAGCTTTGGTAGCAGATTAGAATCAGGTTCAATGGGGGGGAAAGAAGAGAGTTTTTTTTTTTTCTTTTATTAGTAAAGTATTTTCAAGCACCTTGGTGTCTGCTGGTGACCATACACCTTAGAAACTGCATGTAGATGTTACAATCTAGTTGTACAATCTGCTTTAAAAAGCCCATAAATTAGTCTTTTTTTTTTTTATTCAACCAGTGCATTGAACATAAAAAAGTCTCGATTCCCTGATCCCCCAAATGACTCAATTCCTCCACCCATACACTCAAATCCTCCTCGTTGAGCTTTTGTATCCTGACAGAGGGGAGAGTTCCCCGCCATCAAAATACACTAATCTGTGCTCCCGGCTATAGCCTAGCTATATTTTACTATGTTTAACAGCATTAGAGTGTTTTTACAGCTAAAAAACTCATCTTCAAACGCAGTAGTCTTTTTTTTTTCCAGCCTGAAACCGCCCCTCTCAAAAAATGCTGCTATAGTCGAAAGATTGACTTTTGAACAACCAAGCCTGTTCATGCATGGATTGAAATGTATCCGGTCCCTACTAAAAATGTACTTCTAAATTGTATTGTGTATGACCATGTTTAAATAAGGCTTTTACTTTTAAGAATCACTGTAAGTTCACTGTTGCAATGTATACCAACCTTAAGGTCTGTCACTTACTGCAGTGACTGCAAGGAAATTTTTCTTGCAGACCACACATTATGCATCAGTCACCCCATGACCTCCCAAAATCAACCAACTAGAAGTAGAATTTGCACCACCAGGGAGACTTGGGTAGTATATAAAAAGCCTCCAGCAAAAGAAATAAAAGAAACAGATAAGAAAAGGAACATTCCAAAGAGCCTGAGCTAAAGGTGGTTTTATCTTATCTGTGCTCTGGGATCATATATTTTGTTCATACACCTTAGAAGAGACATAACCAATTTCCTACATACTCATGTCAATCCAATCAGAACATACAGTAGTAACAATCACATCATAAGAGTTGTTGATCCAGAACTTTGATGTTCCTGTGTTTACACATGTAGGTTTGTCTGATCTGCAGAAAATCAGGCAGTTTAAGAATCCAGAAATGTGATTTGTGATTAATAAATTGTGTAATTCTTTGCAGCTTGGATACATCTGTGCATATGCTTAGGAGAAATAAATACATTTGCAATGCCAGATTTACTCATCACCTACAGTGGCGATGTTCTGCTTTCATCTCAAACACCGCTTTATTGATGCTTTTCAAAACAGATGAAATGACAGACAATTCCCAGTATCCAGAGAGCTGCAGTAACGCAAAACTACCAGACCCATATAGTATATTACTGGCAATACGCACTCATGCAACTTTTGACTGCTAAATCATCATCTTACCACAACAGTGTCAGTCAAGGTACAGCCAGAGAACTTTTTTGCTAGGAGACCCTCAAAGTTAGTGGTTCTCTGAATAGCAAAGAGCAGAAGCTTCACCTCAATTTCCTTTGCTCTTGTCCTCATGATTTTTGCAAGATCATTTCTGCAGAAAATAGCAACATGTATCAACTAAAAAAAATGAATACTATAAAACTACATTAATTGTTCCACCACTATACTGAAGCAGTACTTAAACAAATGACACAGCAAAGTGAGGGAGAAAGAGGCAGAACACCAGAAACAGGGTCATTATATAGACACAACAGGGTTGTTTATAGACACTATCCAATGCAGAGGGGAGCTGGAAAAGCAATACCCCCCTGTACATGTTAGGAGTTCTCAGTAGAAAAAATGGCAATATGAGAATCAAAGATTTTAAAAATGGCTGTTTCTGGAGTTAACCTTTAAACCAGGCATTCCTACATGGCAGACTGAGTCGATGTTCCTTCCAGATCGCTGCTGTACCAGAGGTGCAGAGGGCTGTGTAATATGAAGGTGTACCACAGGTGTAGGGGGCTGTGCAATATGAATGTGTACCACAGGTGCAGGGGGCTGTGTAATGTGAAGGGGCGCCAGAGGTACAGGGGGACTGTGTAATGTGAAGGGGTGGCAGAGGTGCAGGGGGGCTGTGTAATGTGAAGGGGTGCCAGAGGTGCAGGGGGCTGTGTACTATGAAGGGGTACAAGAGGTGCAGGGGGACTGTGTAATGTGAAGGGGTACCAGAGGTGCAGGGGGCTGTGTAATATGAAGGGGTGCCAGAGGTGCAGGGAGTTGTGCAATATGAAGGGGTGCCAGAGGTGCAGGGGGTTGTGCAATATGAAGGGGTGCCAGAGGTGCAGGGGGTTGTGCAATATGAAGGGGTGCCAGAGGTGCAGGGGGCTGTGTAATGTGAAGGGGTGCCAGAGGTGCAGGGGGCTGTGTAATGTAAAGGGGTGCCAGAGGTGCAGGGGGTTGTGTAATGTAAAGGGGTGCCAGAGGTGCAGGGGGCTGTGTAATATGAAGGGGTGCCAGAGGTGCAGGGGGCTGTGTAATATGAAGGGGTGCCAGAGGTGCAGGGGGCTGTGTAATATGAAGGGGTACCACAGTTGAAGGTGGCTGTGTAATGTGAAGGGAGGCCAGAGGTGCAGGGGGCTGTGTAAGGTGAAGTGGTGCCAGAGGTGCAGGGAGCTGTGTAATATAAAGGGGTGCCAGAGGTGCAGGGGGCTGTGTAATATGAAGGAGTGCCACAGTTGAAGGTGGCTGTGTAATGTGAAGGGAGGTCAGAGGTGCAGGGCACTGTTTAATGTGAAAGGGTGCAAGAGGTGCAGGGGGTTGAGATGTGAAAGGGGGGCAGAGGTCACTGCTCTGGGGAGGTGCTGTGAAGGGGGCAGAGGATACCACTGTGAAGGCAGATTCAGAAGACTATTGTGAAAGGGAAACAGTGATGTGAAGAGGGGATTGTTATATGCAGAGGGGCTGAGGAAACTGATGTAAGATAGGTATTGTGAAATAAAAGGCTGGGATAAAATTTCACTGATCGGACTTTCATGAATTTTAATTCAGTACCCCTGCTTTAAACCTTCTTGTGTTCTCTATTGCTTACTGAACAATGAATCATCACTGTGACCATGCTGATCTACTGTCCAATAAGGAAGCTGGAAGGTTAAACCAGGAAATAAGGATGTTATCTGCCTGGTTGTACTATGTGGTGGGAGGTTGGGACAAGGTTGGCAAATACACAATTTAAAAAAAATTGAAAACAATCATTGAAAATTCAGGATTACGATAAAATATATCATTTGTATTGCTTAATAATGGTGTACAAGGAAAAAGTGTAATAAAACATCCGTTGATTCTGCCATATATTCAGTGCTATCCTGCGTACTCTGCAGTCATATAAAACAGTGTTACCAGCCCTGCCCCAGACCACCTCTCTGAAACTACTACAGAACAAATAAATTCTTTAAAAATCATACAATGTGATTTCCTGATTTTTTAAAAAAAATTCTGTCTCTCAGAGTGGGAATGCACCTACAATGTGAATTTCAGACCCCTCCATGATTTCTAAGTAGGAGAACTTGCAAAATCGCAGGGTGTTCAAATACTTCTGTTCCTCACTGTATATTTAATCAATACTATAAACATAGTTTTTCATGGTATGAAGTGACATTAGACTTTGACAACACAGTGGAAAAAAGGTATATTCATCATGTACTGAACTTTATGAAACCAATGATAAAACCAACATGGGGACAGAATGTAGTAGTAAGTTTAATGTGGTTTTAAAACGTGCAGGCTAAATGAAATGTAAAGTTTCTTTTCTGACATATGAGCAGACTAAAAAAAAAGCTATGGGCCATTCCAAACAAAACTGACCCCAGTGACTTTTCCACATGCATTTCAGGCTTGTTCTTTTATTGTTAGGACTGGGCAAGAAACATGATTGTGGAAAGGTGAGGAGTTCAGGGTACTACTCATAAGGGGTTTAAGCCAGCATGTGTAGTAGAAGAACAAAGCTTTGGCAGCAGATGCAGTTCTCATTAGAGAGAGAACAATGACAGGTATAAAGGGTATTATAAAAGCTCTGGTACTATGGATACTTTTCATCTCCAGGGGATTTCTTTTTTTTCCTGGAGTCTACTCAGGACAGAACGAACCGCTAAACTATTGAATCAAGTACTTGGGCAGCTCAAAGTCTTACATTTTGTACAAATTTCACTGAAAGCTCTCATTACGGCATAAAGAAAATGAATGTTGCCCTTAAATAATGAGCAAGGATTGTATTGCTTCATCCAAGGTAAAAGCCCTAAAGACAGATTTTATTTCTGTAAAGGTGAACTCTAGGTTCAACTGTTGGCACCTAGGAAAATAAATTATGCAGAAAGGCACTGTGCACCAAAAGGAAGTCGGCACGTTGGATTGTTATGCCATTATGCAGCTGCAAATTAGGTTTATAATTAAGTACAGAGGTCTGGATCATTAGAGAAAGTCAGGTATATTATAGTATACTTCTTACATGAGGTCATAGACTATGAACTGGAGCAATGACCACTATTGATTATTAAGATTGGAACAGCAGTAAATGCACAGATCTGAGGTGAGGGGCATAGGGGAATGCAATTACTACTATACTTCTCTTTCCCTAGTCATTATTTTGTGAAGTTCTTCCTCAGCATCCAAAAATACTGACACTGCCAAGTAATGACAAACGTCTACTGCTTATGACAATACTGTACATAAAATTGAGATCAAAACAGATCACATATTTCAGAAATGCTGATGGGTGTAGCTTCACTGTGCATGTTCTCTCTCTCTCTGCTTGCATGGGTTTCTCCAGGTACTCGTTACCTCTCACGCTCCAAAGACGTGCTGGTAAGATAATTAGCTCCTGTCTAAATTGGCCCTAGTATGTGTATGTACTGATGTACTGTAAGAGATATGGACCTTGAGAATAGGGACCGATGTGAATATACAATATGTAAAGTTCTGTGTAAAATGTCAGTGATATTTAAATATCTGTAATAGATAGATTGTAGCACTTCATGCATGTCTGCATGTTGGAAGAAGTCCATGAACTGGAACACCCAGGTAGCAACGCGCAGCATCTTCATACACAAGGGCCAGTGTATGTTCAATACATCACTTTAAAGTGGTAGTAAACGCTTATTTTTAACTTGTAGATAAAATGAATATCTCCTAAACGTGCACCGTTTAAGAGACATTTGCTGTTTTTTTTTAGAGCCATTCCTTCAGAGTACTGTGCCGTGGTCCGGGACTTCTGCACGCATGCGTGGGAGTGATGTCATCGCGGCTCGGCCAGTCAGACAGCCAGAACTCACGAACCTGGAAGGAAGACAGGGTGGAATTGGCCAGCGTGCCACTGGAGGGCTTCGTTTTAAGGTAAGTCCTTCATAATGTGCTAGAATGTGATGCATACTAGCATATTATGACATTTTCTTGCAGGGGATTTTTATATTCTTTTTTTTTTTCTACCTGTGGTTTACTATGGCTTTAAGTCAAAATACCTCCCAGCTTTTTGTGCACTTGACCTGCTGAGAAATGCATGCATTTAAAAACCCCATGTGATTACCTATTTATTTTGCAGCATACACTAAGTGACTTAACTTGCAAAACCTGGGTCAAGAGAACAGGTTTCTTCCTTTTCTAAAGGAAGAAATGGTTTTATTTTTGATATGGCATGTTTTTATTTTTCACAAAGCAATTAAGGGTTTTGGCTGAAGGGCAAAGCAACTTGCTTTCAGAAGCATGCTACTTGCATTAAAGATCAGTTTAAGCAATTTCTGAGACCATTTATAGTTGATCTTCAAGTGCATTTGTCTTGCTGTTGACATCCTTCTAGCTTGCGGTTGACCCCCTACCAGCATCAACTTGCTGCAAACCGCTTGTGCAACTTAAATGCACTGGGAGAAAAATAATCTAGTAAATCCTGAACACGTGAAAGAAAATCCAAAATTTTACCTGGTTATATGGCAAAACTCAACAGCAATGCGCTCTGTCATGCACCAGTCCACAGGAAACATGCGGCCATACTTCTCTTCATAATCCACAAGCTGACGTTTAATCCAAGCATAGCGCCTGTCAATTTTGTCAAGCCACGCCACCTGCCACACAAAAAGGACAAACACCTAAATAACATATATGCAGGAATATGGAAGATAAATACCAACTGAACATTTAAAGTACATGTAAAACCAAAACTTTATTTTTACCATCAGTGTCCCATTCAGGAGTTTTCCCTTTGCTTCCTGTTCTGTAAAGATAACTGGAACAAGTGTCCCAAATTTTAAGATTTCCCCTCTATTCATATGCTCTGGTTAAAGCAAAAAAAAAAATACTGTATTTTCCTTTACTTTTTGTCCCAACGATAATGGTCACCGGGAAAGAGTCAAAGGGTGAATCTCCCTAATGGGGATATAAACCACAATAAATACCCTTCCTTGTTCGAAAAAAAAAAAAAAAAAAGTTTACACTTTAGACACATTTTAAAGTAGATGTAAACTTCATTTTTTTTAAATCTGTTGACAGGAAGGGTTTTTATGACAGAAGAGACCATATTGGTCTCTTCTGCCATAATTGCATCCTCCTGTCAGCTGTCATGTACACTGAGCTGCGCATATATGGCCCCGTCAGGAGCGTATTTACCACAAGACAAACAAGGCATTTGCCTAGGGCAACATTTTTCAGGGGCAGCACCGCCACCTGGAAGAAGGGACATACGCGGCATGAGCAGCAGGTGGGATCCAAGAGAGGCTGCGGGCTGCTGGATGGTGAATGCAGAGCCTGACTCTCGTTCCCAGGGATGTCCGGAGCTGCGAAAGTGATTGTCTTTCTCTCCCGGGGGGGGGTGGTTTGCTAGTATATGGGGCGTGGTGATAGTGGAAGCCTCTCTGGGGGGGGGGGGGGGGGCAGGGGTTTTGTTTGTCAATGTCAGGCTCTCTCTGCGGGGAAGGGGGGGGATTTTTGTGCTGCCTATGACAGCACAAAACCTAAATATGCCATTGGACCCTGATCTATACTGCAGCAATGTGACTCTTGTGCACATGCGCGGAAGTGACGTCATCGTGGCCTGGCCTACCAAATGGCCGAAGGCACAAAACCTGGAAGGAAGACCCAGAGAAGATGGAAGCACTGGAACGATTCCAACGCCACGCTGGAGTGCACTGTTTGACAGGTAAGTCTGCCAAATGCTTTGCATACTAGCACATTATGGCATAACCCACCTTGGGGCCCCTAAAGAAAATTCTATAGCGGAGTTAACTACCGCTTTAACGATTATTCTAGGATTCAGAGCGTTAAATCAGATGATAAAATATTTAATATATAGTGTAGGGATCTATATTGAAAACAGTTTGGATTATTTATATGTGTAGTACTACATTGATGTTGGTGCATTTTGTTGATCTGACAGAGCTAATCTGTGGATCATTTACTTCCGCTAATAAATTCTGATGCACATTCAAGCATGGTATGCATGTCCAGTTTTTTTTTTTTTTTTCTTTGTTCAACTAGCAGGTTGAAGAAAAAGAAAAAACTGACAGATCACTGCATCAATACAATGATGTGTGATGCAGGGATCTCTCCCACTGGGCTATTGTATTATGACAGGGGGGGGCCTTACCCCAGAATACACAAATCAAAGCTTGCACCCATTGGCTGCAAGTGCCGATCGAATGATGGTTTTCCAAAAAGACTGTTCAACAGAAGTCGGTCATTAGACTGGCTTCTGTTGAACACACAGCAGTACACCTGTACCAAAAGTTGACCTGTTACCTTTAAACCGTATGTGTGTACCAGGCTTTAATCCTCAATCAACGTTCACATTCAGTCAATGTTCACTTGATTAAAAAAAAGAAAGTCTCTCAGCGCTCTTACCTTAGTACATGAACAACAGTCAATTGAATATAAAAAGTACTTATTCCCTATTTCTATTGGTGGAATCTCCAGAGTTGATAATATAACAAAGTCCTGGCTCAGGATGGTTGGTACAAGTATTCAGCAGCCTTAATAATGGTTCATGTGGAATGGCATATAGAAGACAACAGAGTAGCCAAAGTGCAGGAATTATGAAAAATAATGTGTCCTTTATTAACTGCTTCCACGCCGCTCTATAGCAGAAATATTGCTACAGGGCGGTACGGGTGCACAAAATCATGTATATATTCGTAATTGTGCTGCTACAGGCAGGGGCGCGCATGTCACCATTCTCAGCCTCAGCTATCAATCACTGGGTCCCGGCCGGTGATTGCCGAGTATCTTCGACAGGGAAGAGACCTGAGTATAAACAAACACAGATCTCTCCCCTGTCAGCTCCTCCACACTGCTTTGTATGGCTCTGCATAGCAGAGCCATACAAAGCAGTGTGCTTACAGTGTAAAGCACTCACACAGCGCACATTTAACTCTTGGATCGCCCCACGTTAACCCCTTCATGCCCAGTGCCATTAGTACAGTGTCGCTGGTTACCATCCTTACATGGTGAGTCCAGTTTCCTATGGATAACAGCTGTAGCCGGTCTGTAGTTTGGACTCATTATTCTCATGCACACACTGTCATTTCCCTCTATGTCTAAGCAGCACTTCTCTTACTTAAATGAAAATTTGGATATTTGTTTAATAAATGACACATTATTTTTACTAATTCCTGCGCTTTGGCTACCTTGTCTTCTAATGTGCATTTCAAAGCAGCTCTCAGGGAAGGCTTTGGGAATTTTTTCCTGTGAAGCACTGCACATACAAAAAAATTAGCACTGCCCAGCACTTTGTGACACTTCAATAAAGTTCACAGAAAATCAGCATTACTGTTGTTCCACTGCACACTAGACCAGCACAACATTCTAACTCTGCTGCTGTGAATGGGCACTTTCACACTGCTGCAAAGCGATTTAGTCACAGCGCGAGTGCAGCATAGTGTATCTGCGGTTTACATGCAGGTTATCCACACTTTTCTATAGACGTCTATTAGATTGAGCGTTTTTTTTTTGTTTTTTTTAAAGGGCATCAAAAATCCAGTGTGCTGCATCTTTGGTCCACTTTCAGAAAATGCACCAAAATTGCCAGATCTAATGGCGGTTTATGGGAAAGCGAGGGTAACTTGCACGAAAACAGTGGGTACACTGAGATGCACTCAAGCTATAGCCAAAATTCAGTGCAGCAGTGTGAAAGCTCCCCCTTAATGTAAAATTTTGTAGCAGGGTTTAAAGTATCAAGTGTACATAAGACTGTATTAACTGCAAAGTGTTACGGCGCCAAAGACCACTTGCTGTTACACAGCTCTACAACAATAATTCTTAGTACATAGAAAAAGTAACAATGGACTGCTGTTACAAAGTTAGGAAACTGTTCTTTGCCTTAATTAAGAGAACTAAGATAATTAAAGGATGCAGCACCTGCATCGCCAAAAAAAAAAGGAAGGATTACCTATAGAAAAAAACTGTGCTAATGTGCTTCTTGCTGCTTACTTACAAATGCAAATAATGTAATTTTTGTTTGGGGGGGGGGGGGGGGAGATGGTAGAGCGATAGCGGTTCTTTAAGGGCTCATTCACACAGAAAGTAAAATGCTGTGTTTAGATGCACACTGCGCCCAATTTTGTATGCATCTAAATGCAGCACTATAGTAATCAATGAGCCCATACACATGTCTGCACCTACCTGAAAAAAGAAGTGCTGCATTTAGTAGAAAGAAGTAAAACACCTCTGTGTCCAGGACAACACAGATCTGCATATTTTATGCGTGAATGCACACATACAGTAGATCTAAAAAGTCTAAAACCCGTCAAAATATCAGGTTTCTGTGATGTAAAAAAAGAAGACAAAGATAAATCTTTTCAGAACTTTTTTTTTGAAGTACCTTTTGATTTTATTCTAGCACTCAGTCTTTTGAGGTATGAGTCTATCAGCATGGCACATCTTGACTTGGCAATATTTGCTGACTCTTCCTTGCAAACACACTCCAAATCTGTCAGATTGTGAAGTTATCTCCTGTGCACAGCCCTCTTCAGATCACCCCACAGATTTTCAATTGGATTCAGGTCTGGGCTCTGGCTGGGCCATTCCAAGACTTTAATCTTCTTCTGGTGAAGCCATTCCTTTGTTGATTTGGATGTATGCTTTGGGTCGTTGTAATGCTGAAAAATGAAGTTCCTCTTCATGTTCAGCTTTCTAGCAGAAGCCTGAAGGTTTTGTGCCAATATTGACTGGTATTTGGAACTGCTCATAATTGTCTCTACCTTGACTAATGCAGGCCATAGACGGTTTATCGGCCGATTTTTTTCGTCCGAAAAACGAAACATCGTTCGTTCTGTAAACCTATGTTGTCACCAATGATTGTGAAAATCAGCCATTTTTCACGAATTGTCCAGCATGACCAATAAACGAAATGAGGAGGAACCGCGAAAATCGGACGATGCCATTGCCCCACTAACAGTGTGAAAATCGGCCGATTATTCTTTCAGACGAAAAATCAGCTGATAAACGAACCGTCTTATGGCCTGCATAAGGCTCCAGTTCCAGCTGAAGAAAAACAGCCCCAAAGCATGATGCTGCCACCACCATGCTTCACTGTGGGTATGGTGTTCTTTTGGTGATGTGCAGTGTTGTTTTTTGCGTCAAACATATCTTTTAGAATTATGGCCAAAAGGTTCAACCTTGGTTCCATCAGACCAGAACACATTTTCCCACATGCTTTTGGGAGACTTCAGATGTGTTTTTGCAAAATTTAGCCATGCTTGGATGTTTTTTCTTTGTAAAAAAAAGGCTTCCGTCTTGCCACTCTACCCCATAGCCCAGATATATGAAGAATACAGGAGATTGTTGTCACATGTATCACACAGCCAGTACTTGCCAGATATTCCTGCAGCTCCTTTAATGTTGCTGTAGGCCTCTTGGCAGCCTCCCAGACCAGTTTTTTTCTCGTCTTTTCATCAATTTTGGAGAGACATCCAGTTCTTGGTAATGGTCACTGTTGCGCCATATTTTCTACACTTGATGATAACTGTGTTCCATGGTATATCTAATGCCTTGGAAATTCTTTTGTTTCCTGACTGATACCTTTTAACAATGAGATCCCTCTGATGCTTTGGAAGCTCTCTGTGGACCATGGCTTTTGCTGTAGGATGCGACTAAGAAAATGTCAGAAAAGACCTACTAGAGCAGCTGAACTTTATTTGGGGTTAATCAAAAGCACTTTAAATGATGGGCAGGTGTGTACTGACTCCTATTTAACATGATTTTGAATGTGACTGCTTAATTCTAAACACAGCTACATCCCCAGTTATAAAAGGGTGTGCAAACTTATGCAACCATATTATTTTAGTTTTTTATGTTTTTACTCCCCCACCCCCCTAAAAGATTTCAGTTTGTCTTTCAATTGAGTTGTACAGTTTATAGGTCACATTAAAGGTGGAATAAGTTCTGAAATGATTTATCTTTGTCTCATTTTTTTTTTTTACATCACAGCAACCTGACAACCTGAGGGGTGTGTAGACTTTTTATATCCAGTTTACATGCCTAAATGTATAGGCTTGTAAATGTGTAGCTATTAATTTGAATGTAAGAAGATTTGTACACTTCTAAATACTGTATGCATCTAAATACAAGTACTTTAGATGTGTTTTCTGCAGGATTTTCTGCCAGCAAGAACCTTTTCATGCAGAGAATACACAAATGCCCATGTGAATGAACCCTGAAACTGCACAGCAGGCACACACCTAATACACTGATGAAATCCATATTAAGTGAGCTATTTTGTCTACCAATGGATTCCTATTTGCATCCATCCAAAGATTTACATGGCTCTACCACATAACAAAGACATGCCTGACAGGAGTTCTGTGTTTTTTCTGTGGTAGTACATTAACACTTAGGGGTCTGCTACATACCTCACACATCCTAATACTGTATATTGAACAGAGAAACAATAGACTGGTGGGCTCATGTCTGTGCTTTCTCTTTCTATCCACATACTTTTACAATGCAAATGACTGGCTCCATCTGCTGCTTCTCCATAATTCTGTCTGAGCTCTCCTGTACAGGCATTGCAATGGTCTAATACCAAGCAAACTGAAGTAGCCATACTAAATTATTCTTACATCTTGGTTCTCTTGAAAAAGCACCAAGTACTCAGAAAGATGCTGCCTGATGAATTTCTTGATGATCTCTTGTTTAATCCGGACATCCAGGACATTAGCTACCAAGCAAGCATCACGCAGGACATTGCTGGGTCCTCCAGGTCTCTGGTAAAAAAAAAAAAAAATCATAAGTGACTATTAGAATTGGCTTCTTTCCAGCAAGCTATAAAAGTACATTCAGTGATACCGTGAATTCCAGAACACCGTTAACAAAAAGCACAGTTGTGCCAAATCATTGTTCAGGTTTATTAAATGGAATATATTTATTAAAAACAAAAAATACATTCAAGCCGTCGGAGCCCATGAACCCGGAAGAGTGACCGAGTGAAGATGGAAGTCCTGTCAGCGGTGACAGTGTGCTGCTGAAGGGCATTCGTTTTAAGGTAAGTTTCACATAATGTGCTAGTATGAGATGCATACTAGAACACTATGACATTGCCTTGCAGGAGAAAACTTTTTTTTTTTTTTTGGAGAGTTTACTACCGCATTAAAGTCAGTGCCAGTTTCCTCCCTAAGCCTTCGGTTAGTGACACTAAACAATATCCTTATTATCTGAAATTGTTTAATCCAGTGTATTTTCTGCCTCCGTGAGCTTTCGTACATCTCCTTTTCCCTCTCACTTCCATTTGTTTGGAACAGACAGTGCACGCTAGTTGTCCACACTGCTCTATACGCACAAATCCCATAACCCACAGTTCCTAGACCATCTTGACTGTGAACAAGAGAGGGAGGCTAAATTCCTAATACAATGGGAGAATGAGCACAGCCACCCTCTAACAGCAGCAGTTCAAAGCAGCAAAAAAAAAAAAAAGAATTTGGAGGAGGATGAGAGCAAAAGAAGGTACTTTTTTGACTCAATACATACTTGTATGCATGCAGTCTGTGCCCCCGCTAGGGAGATTCACCCTCTCTATTTGTCCTGTTTACCATTATCATTAAGTATCTAAAGTAGAAGAAAATGCCAAATCTCTCTCTTACTCTACCCAAAATGCAATTTTAAAAAAACGTATTGCCTTATTACACTTTGTGATTACACACTTGAGTTTAGTGACATTTGAGATTATTTCTGACCAAAATCTGTGGGACTGTGGTATAAACATTGCGAGGTATGGTGTGAATTGTACATTGCTAAACACCAGCATAACAGAAACATAAATAGGAGGAAAAAAAGGATAAGTAATCTACCTTTGTACCCTGAGATGGAAATGCCTCCTCAAAATCAGCTAGAATCTGCTGTCCAAGTTCAGTTTGAGCAGCTTTAACTCTACAAAAGACCAAAAATGCAAATTACACATTATACATAGTATATAATATTGACCATGATGTGCACAGCTATACCTTTTAAAAGTCACAAAATATAATGTCTGACAAGTTAGGAACACAATTGCATTATGCAACCAACCATATATACAAGTAAACAAAACGTACAACTGGGATCAATGACAAGAATTTTTAAGTCACTTTTTGATGTCACTCACATTTTTACTGTTTTCTTTTTTTTTTCTTTTTTTACTGTTTGCTTTTCTTTTTTGTTTTTGTAATAAAAAGGTAGACATCTGCATATTAGTCACTAGAGGCAGGGAAAATAACTCTGTCTAGTTGCTTAAAGTGTTACTAAACCTAGGACTCCACATTCACTGTATCTGACCTCCCACAGTACACAGAACTGCAATTATTTTAGTAAATATAAACTGCTAAATACCTCTTCTCATCAACAATATTGCAATCTTGTGACTTCTATCAGTGTCCAGCTGAGCACTGGGTTATCGTGTAGGAGAAGTTTTCATTCTGCTCTGACTGTCCTATAAGGCTGCATAACCCCTGTCCCTTTGTCTGCACAGTGCTGATTTACGGTGTGCTGATCACATGTGCCCTCCCAAAGAAAAAAAAAAAATGTCTATAGCAATACAGGTGAAACTTCAAAAATTAGAATATCGTGCAGAAGTTCATTTATTTCAGTAATGCAGCTTAAAAGGTGAAACTAATATATGAGATAGACTCATTACATGCAAAGGAAGATAGTTCAAGCCATGATTTGTCATAATTGTGATGATTATGGCTTACAGCTCATGAAAACCCCAAATCCACAATCTCAGAAAATTAGAATATTACATGCAATCAATAAAACAAGGATTGTACATACAGTGGGGATCGAAAGTTTGGGCACCCCAGCTAAAAAATTTGTATTAATGTGCATAAAGAAGCCAAGGAAAGATGGAAAAATCTCCAAAAGGCATCAAATTACAGATTAGACATTCTTATAAAATGTCAACAAAAGTTAGATTTTATTTCCATCATTTACACTTTCAAAATAACAGAAAACAAAAAAATGGCGTCTGCAAAAGTTTGGGCACCCTGCAGAGTTAATATCTTGTACTGCCCCCTTTGGCAAGTATCACAGCTTGTAAACGCTTTTTGTAGCCAGCCAAGAGTCTTTCAATTCTTGTTTGAGGTATCTTTGCCCATTCTTCCTTACAAAAGTCTTCCAGTTCTTTGAGATTTCTGGGCTGTCTGTCACGCACTGCTCTTTTAAGGTCTATCCATAGATTTTCAATTATGTTGAGGTCAGGAGATTGTGAAGGCCATGGCAAAACCTTCAGTTTTTACGCCTCTTGATGTAATCCCCCGTGGATTTCGAGGTGTGTTTAGGATCATTATCCATTTGTAGAAGCCATCCTCTCTTTAACTTCAGCTTTTTCACAGATGGCATCAAGTTACCATCCAAAATTTGCTGAAATTTTATTGAATCCATTTTTCCTTCTACTCGTGAGATGTTCCCTGTGCCACTGGCTGCAACACAACCCCAAAGCATGATTGATCCAACCCCATGCTTAACAGTTGGACAGAGGTTCTTTTCATTAAATTCTGTGCCCCTTCTTCTCCAAATGTACCTTTGCTCATTCCGGCCAAAAAGTTCAATTTTAACCTCATCGGTCCACAGAACTTGTTTCCAAAATGCATCTGGCTTGTCTATATGTTCATTTGCAAAGTTCAAACGATGATTTTTGTGGTGAGGACGTAGAAGAATTTTTCTTCTGATGACTCTTCCATGAAGACCATATTTGTACAAGTATCTCTTTATAGTGGAATAGTGTACCACAACTCCAGTGTCTGCCAGATCTTTCTGGAGGGATCATGCTGTCAAAAGTGGGTTTTAAATTGTTTTTCTCACAATCCTGCGAGCTGTTCTGTCTGATATTTTTCATGGTCTTCCAGATCTTGCTTTAACTTCCACTATTCCTGATAACTGCCATTTCTTAATTACATTCCGAACAGAGGATATTGACATCTGAAAACGCTTTGCTATCATCTTATAGCCTTCTACAGCTTTGTGAGCGTCAACTATTTTTCAGTTTCAGTTTTCTAGACAACTGCTTAGAAGAACCCATGGTGCTGATTGTTGGGGCAAGGTCAGATGAGTCTGGGCATTTAAAACCTTTCAGATTGACATAACCTGGTCTTCCCGGACGATGATTGAGAACAATCCATGACACTGGCAGGTCTCAGCTTTGCAAAGGGGGCAGTGCATGCTATAAATTCTGCAGGGTGCCCAAACTTTTGCAGATGCCATTTTTTTGTTTTCTGTTATTTTGAAAGTGTAAATGATGGAAATAAAATCTAATTTTTGTTGACATATTATAAGAATGTCTAAACTGTAATTTGATGCCTTTTGGAGATTTTTCCATCTTTCCTTGGCTTCTTTATGCACATTAATACAAATTTTTAGCTGGGGTGCCCAAACTTTCGATCCCCACTGTAGAACAATATCGGACCTCTGAAAAGTATAAGCATGCATATGTACTCAGTACTTGGTTTGGACCCCTTTTGCAGCAATTACTGCCTCAATGCGGCGTGGCATGGAAGCTATCAGCCTGTGGCACTGCTGAGGTGTAATGGAAGACCAGGATGTTTCAATAGCAGCCTTCAGCTCTTCTGCATTGTCCGGTCTCATGTCTCATCTTTCTCTTGGCAATGCACCATAGATTCTCTATGGGGTTCAGGTCAGGCGAGTTTGCTGGCCAATCAAGCACAGTAATCCCACGGTCATTGAACCAGGTTTTGGTGCTTTTGTCAGTGTGGGCAGGTGCCAAGTCCTGCTGGAAAATGAAGTCAGCATCCCCATAAAGCTTGTCTGCAGAAGGAAGCATGAAGTGTTCCAAAATCTCCTGCAAGACGGCTGCGTTGACCCTGGACTTAATGAAGCACAGTGGACCAACACCAGCAGATGACATGGCTCCCCAAATCAACACAGACTGTGGAAACTTCACACTGGACTTCAAGCATCTTGCAGTGTGTGCCTCTCCATTCTTCCTCCATACTCTGGGTCCTTGGTTTCCAAATGAGATGCAAAAGTTGCTCTCATCAGAAAAGAGGACTTTGGACCACTGAGCAACAGACCAGGTCTTTTTTTCTTTAGCCCAGGTAAGACGCTTCTGACGTTGTTTGTTGCTCAGGAGCAGCTTGACAAGAAGAATACGACATTTGAAGCCCATGTCCAGGATCCATCTGTGTGTGGTGGCTTTTGGTGCACTGACTCCAGCCTCAGTCCACTCCTTGTGAAAGTCCCTAACACTTTTGAATGGCCTTTTCCTGACAATCCTCTCCAGGCTGCGGTCATCCCTGCTGCTTGTGCACCTTTTTCTTCCACACGTTTCCCTTCCACATAATTTTCTATTAATGTGCTTTGATACAGCACTTTGGGAACATCCAACTTCTTTTGCAATTACCTTTTGAGGCTTTCCCTCCTTATGGAGGGTGTCAATCATGATTTTCTGCACAGCTGTCAGGTCAGCAGTCTTTCCCATGATTGGGATTCCTACTGAACCAGACTGAGAGACCATTTAAAGGCTCAGGAAACCCTTTGCAGGTGTTATGGCGTAATTAGCGGATTAGAGTGGGACACTTTGAGCCTAGAATATTGCACCTTTTCACAATATTCTAATTTTCGGAGATTGTGGATTTGGGGTTTTCATGAGCTGTGAGCCATAATCATCACAATTATGACAAATCACAGCTTGAACTATCTTGCTTTGCATGTAATGAGTCTCTCTCATATATTAGTTTCACCTTTTAAGTTACATTACTGAAATAAATGAACTTTTGCACGATATTCTAATTTTTTGAGTTTCACCTGTACACACTAAACTTAGCATTTGCAGAGTGACTCCTAGAGCTCTGTACTATCAGCAGATGGATTGAGAACAGTAGAAGGATCAGAGAAGACCGGATCAAACAGCCTTTTTACACAACCTGGAGGATTAAACCCTTAGGTTCCAAAGTGAGTATAGCAAGTATGCTTTACTGCATATACAGACTGATTTGGGTTTAGTAACACTTTAAAGCTAAACTCCAGTCAGATATAAAAGACACTTGTTATTAGCCAGTACATCAGAACTCAGCCTGGAAGAACAAAACGAGACAGTAAAGTGTGTTGCAGTGCTCCTGTATAAACAAGGATCATGCAAAAAGCCGGAGAGAGCAGAGTGACAGAGAAATGAGCTCATCACTCTGCAGCTTCCCTTTCACTTTACAGTCACACACTGGGAGATGCACAAGACCAGCAGTATAAGTCTCATCTCTCGCAAGACGTGGCTTCATGATGTCACTGTTGTGTAACCCTCTGATCTTGATGGATGGAAATACAAGTTCTTGGCTAGTAAAACAGCGTCTTTATAAGCATTTAATTTGCCTATTTAGTAGTTCAGCTTTAAAGTGAGTGTAAATCCTCACCTTGTAAAACAACACATTCAGTTTAAAATAGGCAAAACATTTGTGCATAGATAAAAAAAAAAACATTATAAATACCTTTTTCCCCTTTTTATAAGTGATCACATACCCTCTGTTGTCAGTTGCATAAGAGCTAGGGGTGGAGAAAAAGCAGTACACTGATTTTCCCAGTGAAAGGCTGTGCAGGGGGGAAAGGTGTCAGGACACGTCTGATTATTTGAGGATAGCAAACTGAGTTCTCAGCACAGCTATAGAACTGACCATGCTGTGCTCTTATGCCTAGAGTGGTCAATTTTAATAGGAAAGCAAAGGGTTTGGCAGGAACACCAGGGATTTCACACAAATATAGCAATACAGAGAGAACATGATTTTTTTTTTTCACGTACATGGCACATATCAGGAATATGAAATGGTGGATTTACATATTCTTTAACAGACGTTGAGATAAAATATCAGCCTTGCAGGGAGTACATGGTTCTCAATTAGTAAGCGGACTCCTAGACTTGCATTGTGAGAAAGAACAGTAAAGTACAATCA